CCCCAAAGCTTAAACCTTAAACCCTAAACCTTAAACCCTAAACCCCAAAACCCTAAACCCTAAACCCTAGTCAAGCAAAACCCACCCGGAGCTAAGCGCAGCGCGGGGCCCTGTGAAGCGGCCGCCACGTTCTCCTCGGGGCTGCCGCTTCGGGTGATAAGGCTTTCGAGATTTATGTTAGGGTTCAGGGTTTAGGGTGTGGGGCTGAGGGTTTGGGGTTTAGGGGTTCAGGGTTTAGGGTTTAGGCTTTGGGGTTTAGGCTTCGGGGTTTAGAGTTCAGGGTTTAGGGTTTAGGGTTCAGGGTTCAGACTTTGGGGCTCGGGGAGTTATGGAGCTTCACAACATGGATATCTGAAGACTATTGCGGGTCCCCCTCCGCGATGTTTGGGAAGGTCTTGGGGTGTCACAGAAGACCCTTAAAAAGCAAGCGTTGCTCAAAGGCCATAGCTTCATCACGTCTTTAGGCTTTATGTTAGTGTGCAAAAAATCCTAATATGGCTTTGCATCTTCAAAGCGTTAAATTAAAATTGAGATCCTGTCCGGGATCCTTGTTACGGTATATGGCTAGTTCTCTAAATTCAAGCCCCTTCTGTGTCCCCAATCTAGATAACACGGCACCTCGACAAGGACCTGCGAATTTTTGGAGAACTACCTACATTCTGATGGGCGTCATGCCTGCAGGGAACCCGACTCTAGAACGACCCCGACTAGTGGCAGCGGACATAGAATACTGAGAGCCGGGACTCCTACGCCAAGCTTCTGGGCCCGAGCATGCGGTTTAGGGCTTCCTGTTCAGGGTTTAGGGTTTAGGGAGAGCCAGAACAAAAGCTCCCTGGCCACTTCCGGCAGATGCAGGCAAAGCCGCCCCGCCGGGGCAGTACTTGCCGGAAACGTAGTGGTGCCCCGGCAACCTGGGCCACATTTGGCTTTCAGAAATCCCACTCCCTCGGCTTCCCTGAACCCGCACCCTCTCGCACCGAAGAGCCGAGATCGCGGGACTTTCAGCTCGCAGGATCCATAGCAGACTTCTTCTGTGCAGAAAGGACCGGCGGGGGTTGGCTCGCAAAATGTCCGCTGCGCTCTGTTCACCTCAAACCTCGAAACCCTGAGCCCCAGAACCCCAGAAAACTCCATGCAGGGCGAGCTGCTTCAGGTCGACGCAGCTGTGACGCTCACCACAGCCCGGGTAGCGTGCCGTGACCCAGACCTCTCAGAGCTGGCCAGGAGTTCCTAGGTCTTCTTGTGGGAGTCCTAGTGCCTGGAGGTTTAGGGCTTGAGGGCTTTAGGATTTAAGGTTTATGTCAATGCATCATGCTCTTGTCTTGGTGTGGGATTCAACATTCCGGCCGCTTTTGTGCAGACTGCATCGGCGTGCCTCTCACAGAATCAACCCCTGAAACTCTATTTCAACCAACATGGCCTCCACATTCACCTGAGACAGCCCCAGGCCAACCCTGAACCCTGAGAACCCTAAGCCCTGAACCCCAAGCCCTGAGAACCCGAAGCTGTGTACCTTAAACTCTGAGAACTCGAAGCCTTTCGGCCCTATAAGCCCCCCTGAACCCTAAAGCCTCTGAGCCCTCAACCCTAAATCAGGCTCAATCTGGGTTGAATCCAGGATCCCATTGGGTTTCATTTGGCTTTTGTTGGTGTTTTTGGAAGCTTGGATCTATTGGCGGTTCAGAGGGTCCGTAGACCTTAGGGCGTAAGGCTTAAAGCCTACACCCTACACCCTAAACCCCAAACCCCAAAACCTTAACCCTAATCTAAGGATTAGGGTTTCTGGCTTGGGGTTGGCCCAGATTCAACCTCGAGGGGTCTCTGGCTCACGTGCTCTGCCTTGCTGTGGACTCAGGTTTTTCAGCTTGGGTTTTTAGGGTTTAGGGTCTCACTTTCGGGGGCTATTTGGGCCTAGGGCTTTTTGGGTGAACTTACGGTTCGGTGTTCGGGAGATGTCATTCGGTTTGGGGCTCAAGGTTGACAGAATTGGGGGTTTAGGGTTTAGGGTTTAGGGTTTAGGGCGAAAGCCTGTGGTGCTCACATCTGCGCTCCCCGGCGCAAAAGAGCGAGAGCGACCACGCAGCCCGGCCCTAAACCCTAACGCCACAGAATCGTGGACCCCCTGAAGCCTCAACGCTTACGAAAAACTGGCCGGGGATGTGGCATGCTTGAGGCTGCAGGCAAAATCATCCACGCCGCTGCTCTTGCAGAGGCCGCCTGAGTTCTCACGGAGAGTGGGGTTCAGAATGCCGTTTGAGAATGCCGTTGGATTTACCCTTTAGGAACAGCTAGGCAAGGCTCAGGGCTTCGGGTTTAGCCTTTAGGGAGTATGGTACCAGGCGGTCCTGACGACATCTTTAGGGTTTAGGGTTTAGGGTTGGCTCCCATGGCTCTGCGGACGTTTACGGCAGTCCAGAGGAACTCCCTCTGCCTTCGGAATATCTCATGAAGCCTCACCCCTAACTCGACCAAGGACAATCCTCAGGGTGTAGGGTTTCGGGTTGAAGGGCTCCGGGTTCAAGGGTTTAGGCTTTAGAGGTTTATAGGGTTTAGGATTCAAACTGCAGGCTCCTACAAGGGTCGGGGATGGGCTCGAGATAGAAGACACGCTGGTAGAACACGCGACACCACAGCGCCGTAATCATCCATGGCGTCCATGCGAGCATCAGGGTTTACACCATTGCCGGTTCCTCTTCCATTGACATCCAGATGCAGGGGATCTGAAGCGAAACTTCCGGCTCTTGACTGGTCGAAGAGCCCTAGACCCCAAACATGGACTGAATTTCAACAGCAGCTCTGCCGACGAGTCGCTGTAAAAGAAGCACTTGCCAGCATCCACGGCCCAGTGTGTGCAGTACAGCTCCTGGGATGCTCATCGTCTTCAACTTCCCTCTCGCTCGAACCCTGAACCTACATTCCTAAGCCCTAAATTCCTAAACCCTAAACCCGAAACCCTTTCTCCCTCTCTCTCTCTCTCTCTCGCGGGCGCGAAAAATGCGCCGTAAGGGATCGTTTTCGAGCCATCCCCGTACAGACAAGACCGCAAGGAATCATGCCAGGGTGTGTCAACACAGTGAGGAAGACGGCATGAGGAAAGGTGAGTCTCCCCCCCCATTGCGAGGGGCTACGGTCTCCAGGATAACAAGAACTTAGACATAGACTGCCATCCGACCAGCAAGCAACACCGAAAGAAGCCCAAGGTTCCCGACAACCCACGTGAACCTGCAGTTTCCCTCGAATGGCACGAGAAGACGAGATGTGCAGACAGCCTCAGAGCCTCTCCCTCCCTCTCTGTCTGTTGCTCTCTCTCTCTCTCTCTCCCCGGTTCTGCTTCTGTCACTCTATATGTGCATCCTTCTTTCCGTGCTTCTTGTTTTGACTTGCGGCGGTTGTCTATTGCTTCCCTTGAATTTGATATCTGCAGCAACAAAACTTGCTTATTGAGCTGGAGGCAGTCTTAGCTTCTGTCTGCTTTCGAGTTCTTGGCTTGGGCACCGTGTGCTCACAAACAAGGTGCATGAGCATCACAGGGGTCCATGTTGCAAGCACGCCTCCTGCTGAGGTCTTTCTGTCGCCGAACTTCATCCGCATCACGACAAAGGCATGCCTATCCTTGCTCTCGACTCCGCTAGCATTGGTGTAACTGTCGAAACTGGGCACTGTGATGCTGGAATCTTACCGACCCATAGCTATCCGCACTGCCGATAGCTCGGCTTCAGGACCTCCAGTAGCAGCGAAGCAAGCTTGCCGTTGCCGTTGCTTTGCAATCATCCTAGATGTCGTTTTGCCAGTGAAACAAAAGTCAACATGCTCTGGCTTTGCTTGTTGACTCGGCAAGCCTTTCTTTTGACATTCACCCTTTTTGGTTCCCATGCTAGATTTTCGAATCCATATCACTGCTATGAGCCCTATCACTCTGTTTCGCCTCTTGCCCTTGGAAAACTTATGAAAGCTGTCATCACGGTCAGCACTTGACAAGGTAACCACGACGACGACACAAACGATGGTCAACATCATCACCCATACTCTCATTGCCCTTTTGGTCGTATATCAGGCTCAGTCTGTTTTAAATCTGCAAACACACAACATGAAAGTGGCGGACGTAGCTGCACTTCCAACATAGCAAAGCTTCGCCACGGCATTTGCTGCGGCAAGCGCTCTCCGACGCGTGGCCCTGCGGGAAGCTTTGCTCTAAGAGTCTATATCAAGGCCGAAGGACCTGATAAACACCTTCTGGAATTCAGGCTTTAAGTTTTTACGACTTGGCGTTTAGGGTTTACCTGATATAAACGGTCTTGTAACTTTCATCGTTGAGGGTTCGGGGATTTCAGGGCTTCGTTGTTCAGGCCTTCAGGTGCGTAAGTTGGAGGGCTAAGGGTATAAAAACTGTGTGAATCTTTATCGTTTAGAGTTTAGGGTTTTTTGGGGTTTAGGGTTTAGGGTTCAGTTTTAGGTTTCAAGCTTCCATGCATTGAGGCTTTGGATAAACTTGGCTTAAATGCAGGGTTTGTCGAGTACCAGTACCAGGAAGTCCTGAATGAAGGCATATGCAAGCGGCATCAAACCAACCATAGAACTGACTGGTGCTGCTGCTATGATCGTCTGATGTTCAAAAACCTGTAAACCGCAGCAACCAGCAACACGACGACGCCCATTGTGCCAACAGATCGGTCAAGAAATGAACCGAATGGTAAAGACAACAGTCACAACTAGCAACCAGTAGCGACACTTGAGATTGTTGGCTGCGGCGGCGATGATGATAATTGGTGCCTGTATGCATGATGAGTCATGAATGTGATGATGGGAAACTGCGAAAACTACAAGCCGCAGCAGCAGCAGCAGCAACAGCAGCAGCAGCAGCAGCAGCAGCAGCAGCAGCAACAGCAGCAGCCCGATATCATCATCAGCATCACCATCACCAGCATCGCGCATCAAAGAGATGCACGGAGTCGCACAGGCTTTCCGGCGCGCCTGCCCCAACCGGCAGAAATCTGAAAAGAATCCAGTCCTTGTCGATGCGGCTGGCGAAACTCTGTTGCGTCTTTGCCCAGCACGTGTGGTCCTTCGGTGCAGAGCTGCGGAATCGTGAGAACTAACCGGCAGGTGGGTTGAAGTTAAGGTTCTGTTCCGGTTCAGGGTTTAGGGTCTAGGGTTTAGGGGTTTAGTAGGGTTAAGCATAGCCCTTGGCCCGAAGCCCCAAACACCGAAGCATGTGCCCTAAGTCAGCCCGCAAACCCTTAACGCGAAGCCCCAAACCGCTAAACCCAAAACCCTAAACCCAAAACCCCTGAACCCCTAAACCCCTGAACCCCTGAACCCCTAAACCTTAAGCCCTAAGCCCTAAACCCTAAACCCCAAACCCCAAACCCTAAAACCCGACTCTCTCGAAAGGAAGGAACTCCAAACCCTAAACTTTTAGGGTTTAAGGTTTAGGATTTCGAGCTCAGGGTTTAGAGTTCAGGATTTGGGGTTTAGGGTTTGCCCTAAAGCCTAAACCCTAAACCCCTAAACCCCTACCTTTAGGGCTCAGGCTCCGGAGTTTAGGGCTAAATGAATCCCTCAATTGCGGGCGGGAGGCCCGGAACTCCAGTGTCAAACGGTGGCTGACAACGCCGCCCTGGCGTGCCGAAGACCACCTGGGGTTCAGGGTTTAGGGCTGCTTAGGGCTTATGGGGCTTTAGAGTTTAGGGTTTAGTTCTGTTTAGGGGCTTTAGAGTTCACGGTTTGCGGTTTAGGGCTTCAGGGTTTATTAGGGCTCTAGACTTTAGGGTTTAGGCCTTGAGTCTTTAGGGTTCAGGGTTTTTTAAATACTAGCTAAGTAAAAGAAATAGTGAAAGAAGCAACATCACTACAGTGGTGATACTGCAGAAAGGGCCTACTGACTGGGAACTTATAGGAATTCAAGAGTTGAAGGCCTGGGAGTCCATTTTGGTTTAAAGTTTAGAGTTAGGGTAGAGAGTTCCGGGTTCAGGGTGTACAGTGTGAGGTTTAAGGAGGTTTGGGGTTCAGGATGTAATTTCTAGCGCGAAGATGAGGAGTCGGGAAGCTACTGAAGGCTTGCACAGGTCACTCCAAAACGCCCGCCGCTGCTTTCACGAGTTTAGCGTTTAGGGCTCAGGTGCTCAAGTGTTCGTTTTGAGGGTTTGTGCAGGCTGAGGGGTTCTTGGCATTTGGGTTTGGGGTGCTTCTACTTGGATCGCTATAAGAGCCCTAAACCCTAAGCCCTAGGCACCCCGAAACCCTAAACCCTAAACCCTAAACCCTAAACCCCTAAACCCTAAACCCCAAAACCACGAAACCCTAAACCCTAAACCCCCAAACCCCAAACCCTAAAACCCCCAAAACCCCGAAACCCTAAACCCCTAAACCCCAAACCCCAAACCCTAAACCCCTAAACCCTAAACCCCTAAACCCCTAAACCCTAAACCGTGCTCCGAGATGACTGTCACGAAGTTTCGGGGGTCGGCAGCAGAGCCCAAAACCCTACACTCCCAGACCCAGAACCCTAGACCCCAAAACCCCTAACCCCTAGAAGAACCGTAGACCCAAAACCCCAACCCCTAAAGACCCTAAACTCCCTGACCCCTCACAACCAAAACAAAGCCGGTGCCAGGGGGCTCATAGTGCCCGAAGATGGTACACTGCAGTGGACCCACGGTCCGGCGCACAGAGCCATCCTCTCGCTGCTCTCATAAGCGGGGCCGAAATAATTAGGAACACCAAGAACCCTACGACTTGCTTTTTTTCAGGGTTTAGGCGCTTTGGCCCAAATGACTACGAACCGTCTTCGCTCGAGATCCCTACTGTCACCGTGTAACGTCATCCACCAAATCCCCTAAAGTCTACGTCTTCTCGGGGCTCTCTATGAGGTTGGGGACAGTGCAGGGCCTGGAGGGTGTCTAGGATGGGGTTCAAGTGTCGGGCTGCAGAGTTTGGGGCGTAGGGTTTAGGGTTTAGGGAGTTTGGGGGAGAGAGTATGTAGTTGAGGGGTACATCATGGCTTAGGGGTTCAAGGTCTTCAGCACACGGTTTAAGGCTCAGGGGTTGGAGCATGGGCCTATGGCCTTCAAGGATGCTTGGTATCTCGGGTGTAGAGCTTGGGCTGTCCTCTCCGGACGAGACGACCGAGGGTTAAACCACGGAGTGTCTCTGCAATTCCCTGAAGAATTCTGGAAGCTCATCCTCTGGAAGCTCATCCTGATCAGATTCAGATATGCATGGGTAGAGGGGCCACACCATCACCCAGCACAAGACTAACCGAAAAAACAGAGGGTTGAGGGGATTGAGGGTTTAGGCGATTTAGGGTTTAGGGTCTAGGACTGCCACCTCAACCCTCCCTCCGGCGCCCTCACGCTAAGTCCCAATCCCTCACCGCTGAATCTGAAACCCTCAACCCTAAATCCTAAAGCCTTGACCATAGTGCGGAACTCTGGCCCTAGCCCCCGCAGAGACCCTCCTAAAATTCCTTCTTATCACCCATTTATCACCCTCCCAGTGACCGTAGGTCCCAGATCCCCCCTCCGAAGGTTCCGGCGGGGCCTGGGCGCTATCGAGGCTCCTGGTCAAAGACTCTTCCGGGCTCAGCTGCAGGCCACCAAAGGCGTCCAGGGTGAAAATCCTGCACCGGGGCGGCTCGTTGCTTTCAGGATCCTTCGGGTCTCTTGCCTTGCGTTGCGTGGGGGGGGGGTTTAGGGCTTTAGGGTCCCGGGGAGGGGGGGGGGGTTCGAAGGTTTTTGTGTTAAGAAGATGTTCAGGCTTCGAGGTCCTGCTGATCTCGGCGTGAGGATCTCAGATTTCAGGCTTACACGTTGGCATCTCTGAGGTCTTTGAGGCTTCGGGGCGTCGGCATTCTGAAATTCTAGGCTGTTCAGTGCACGGAATCACCTGCTGCATCACCCTAGTCATCATCACACTGATCACTACGCCTGCTGCCGCTGCCGCAGTCTGCCGCCGGACGAATCTCACCCTCAACCCCAAGCGCCACCTGAAGCCTAAACCCTAAATCCTGAAGCCGAAACCCTGAAGCCGAAACCCCAAGCTCATTGCCGAGACACTGGTGGCCACCCCAGGTAGCCACACCTGGGACGGGGCCGTGGCTTGGCTTTGATGTAACCCTGTCTGCTGTTCTCTTTTATCCCCGAACCCCTTTTTTTCTCAGGACCTTCCTTGCACTGCCTACGACCCCTAAACCCTAAAGCCTAAACCCTAAACCCTAAACCCATTTCTTGACCCTCGTCTATGCTTTCTGGAGCCAGGTTTTTTCACCCCGACTCCCTCTAAAGCAACTGACGCCACCCAAAACCCCCAGCATGCATCCTCAGGTCACCCCCCACCCGTTTTGATTCATAAACCCTAAACCCCTAAACCCCTAAACCCCTAAACCCTAAACCCCCAAACCCCTAAACCCCTAAACCCTAAACCCCTAAACCTCTAAACCCTAAACCCCCAGACCCCTAAAACCCTAAACCCGAAACCCCTAAACCCTAAACCCTAAACCCTCAACCCCAAACCCTAAACCCTAAACCCAACCAGACCTCAACTCTGATACCCAAAGAGCCCCACAAGAAGCTCGGCAGAGGCACCGCTGAGGATATCGAAGGCGAAAGCCGAGCCAGCGCAGCTGGCAGAGAAGCGCGTGGGGGGAAGGCCTCCAGAGGCTGAGGGTGTAGGCCCATTCTTAGAGTTTTAGGGTTTAGGGTTTAGGGTTTAGTGTTTAGAGCTCCGGCGGTTTCTGGTTTGGGGTCTGCGAAATTGTCAGGTCTAAGGTTTGAGGTGAGACTGTCGACTAAGGGTTTGGAGCTTCGGTGAAACGGCAGAAAAGGCTCTGCATCTCTAAACCCTGAATCCTAAACCGCTGCATGGCAGGTAGCCGTCTGGCAAGCCGAGACTTTTAAGGATCAGCGCAGGAAAGCATACGACACGTCCCCGCGCGTGGTGACCATGACCTCTTCGACCCGTTCTTCCCGAAAGATGCTGCCCTAAACCCTTAAACCCCGAAACCCTAAACCCCTAAACCCTAAACCCTAAACCCCTAGACCCCTAAACCCTAAACCCCTCAAAAAACACGGGACTCTGCCGGACCGGCTCGCCTGGGAGCTCTGTTCCCGAACCCAAGATGCAGCCAACACTCTTCAGCCCATGAGACTCATGGGCTCCGGGTCTGGTTCCCTGTTGGGGCTATATGAAAATGTTCATGTTTCATCCTTATTGGGCTTTATTATAACACAAATGTAAAACTATATTAAAATGATCGTTTTTAATCCTTATTGGGTTTTATTATAACAAGAATGTAAAGTTATATCCAACAAGGACCCAGTAGGATGTCTTTACGGAGGCACAGCAGTGGCCAGCTGGTTGTTGATGGAAGAGACTTCCCGGCCTACCTAAACAAACAGCCTGCCGTAAACTCTAAACCCTTAAGGTGGAGAGGTCAAGATGCTACGTCCAGAAGTTCGGGTCTTGTTCAAGCTCGGGAAATTCTGATCGACAGGCGGCCCCATAGACCTTTAAATGCTTAAATCCCAAACCCGCCCTTAACCCCAAAGCCTAAGCCTAAACCCTCAATCCTAACCCCCCAAACCCCTAAACCCCTAAACCCTAAACCCCCAAACCGCCTAAACCCTGACCCGGTCCGGCCATCCCCCTCCGCGTTGGGCTGGAGGATGGGCGACTTCTCCCCGACGGTGGCATAAAGCACGTCGCTGCTCGAGCCGTAGCCTTTTAGGGTTTAGGGCTCTGGGTTTAAAAGTTTAGGGTTTAGGATTCAGGGTTTAGGGTTCAATGAAGCTTCATTCTCCGCAGTTCAGGGCTCAGGGGCTCAATTCAGGGTGCCGGCATTGACAACAGCCCGAAGGCCCAAGTAAAGTAACTCCGAGGCAGGGAGGCTCTAAGCTCTTCCCATCCGGAAATCGGGTGAATTCGGTAAAAACTCGTGGTTTAGGTCATTATCATTGTGGTCATCATCATTTGGTCATTACCATTGTGGTCATCATCATCATCATCATCGTCATCCTCGTGAAGATGGTGGAAGACATGAGGATAACTGAAGGAAGCATCATCTGAATCATGTTCATCATCATCTAAAGTCATGAGAACGGAAGGTACAACAGAAAGTGACTGTAACGAGAATGGTGATGACGACGGTGATGATTTGTTAACGTGGCAGATGATGCTGGCAGAACTGGTACCGTGGCATGCATAGCAGGAATAAGTTTAAAGACGATGAGAGCAATACACGACTACTATGTAGTTACGACAATCAGAAGAAATACTCATTCTTACGCATGCCGTCATAACGCTAAAGGGCTAAGTACGGGTCCGCATAGCCACAACGTCTTCCCATCTTACGCACCGCAAAATTCTTTTGGGGCTTGACAACTGCGAGCTTTGAGCCGAACCATCAAAGCCACCACGCCCCGGACCCTCTTGGATACAAACCCTTCCCTGACTACTAGACTAGACGGTTTAGGGTTTAGGGCTGTGGGGTTTAGGGTTTAGGGGTTTCGGGGTTTAGGGTTTAGGGCTTCTCGTAGTACACGGACTACATCAACTACCAGCCTCAAACAGACTGAGAAGGGTTTCAGTAATCAGGGTCGGCATTACCATAAACCATAAACCCTTGATAGACAGACCCTCACCGAACCGTCAAGACCCTTGTAGAAACACTCATAAACACGTACAGTCTCCTTAACCCGGAACATCTAACTTCTAACAGTGGGGTGGCTGTAGCGCATCCCGGTCCAGCGCGCAGGGGCCAGCACGACGACGCTCCCTTTCGCCTTGAGGCGTTTCGGGCCTGTGGGCCTTGGGACCTAAGGCTTTCATGTAGGGTTTAGGGCTTAGGGTTTAGGAAAGTTTAGGGTTTAGGGGCTTACTTATCAGAATAAGGCTTTGGGGTATATATGACACTGCAATCGTACTCAAGAACCCTTGAGAATAATACTGGCAAGTCAGGCCTCCATCTTAATTAGGATTTACGATTGAGGCCCTGCGGGTTGGGAGTTTAGGGTTTTTTTGTCTTGGTTCGGGCTCCGAAACTCCAAGCCCTAAACCGTAAGACGGTCTGGGGGCAGACTACGGAAGCTTTCGGCTCTGTGCGCTGCGTTTGGGGGGTCAGAGCTCAAGGGCCGTAGGGTTCAGGGCATGGAGAGTAGAGGGCTCCCGCCGTTTTGGTAGGCCTCACCCCTAAAGCCTCTACAGCAAGGAGTCCTGAAATCTCCAAAAACCGTTTTGGGCCAGAACCCCTGAGAAGGAAGACTTCATGATGTCAGAGATTGCGACGGGCAGCGCCGCCATTCTCAACCGAGCATATAGAGCCTCGCAATGGTATGCCAAGCTTCGCCTATCAATATCCCGCGATGCATACCAGGTCTAGGGTTTTGGGGTGAAGTGCGTACACGTTCAGAGCGTTCTATTCACATTTGTTTTGAAATGCTATGACTGTATATATATATATATATACATCATACATGCAAGCATGCGTACATGCATACATAACACACTACAAGACAATACAGTACAGCGCACCATACAATACAATACTATACAGTACAATACATACATGCAGACAGGCAGACCAGACAGACAGGCAGACACACAGACGGACGGACGGACAGACAGACAGGCATGTATACATATACATAGATGTATGTGTAGCATGTATCTGTGTATACAGATGCCTATGCATGTAAATGCGTATGTACATATGCGCGGATGCATGCATGCCTGGATGTATATATGTATGCATGTACAGATTGCTACATCCACATATATATTTACACGTATACATATATATATATATATATATACATATATATATATATATACATACATATACATACACATACGCATACAGATATGTATGTATGTATGTATGTATGCATGCATGCATGCATGCATGTATGTATGCATGTGTATATATATATATATACATATAGATATGGTCACACACACACACCCGCCCCCCCTTGACAGACCACCCCCTTCAAAACCCCGCTCCTACCGGCGATTCCGGCCTTTTTCGCGGGTTCGGGATTCAAGCCCGGCTTTCGACTGGCTTTAACCACTCAGCGAAAACAAAAAAATAGAAAATCAACAAAGATCCGCAAAGATCGCCGGAACTGTTTTGGAGTTTTTGTGTTTGTGGGTTTTTCGTTTAGGTTTCGCAGGGTCGATCTTCTTATGGGGTCACAATTACCCATAGTAACCGGAACACCAAAACCAAAAGACCAAAATACCACAGAACAGAAAGACAAATAACAAAAACACAAAGGACTAAAAAAAAAACAACGAACCAAAAAAACAAAAATCAAAAAGAACAAGACACTTCCGGCATTCTCTCTGGATCTTTGGTTTTTGGTTTTCTGTTCTGGGCCTTCAGCTTTGGTGCTGCGCGCCTGCGCTCTTGCCGGAGATCCCCATACCAAAGCCCTAAACCTTAAACCCTATATCAAAGCATCTATACAGTTCATTTCAGGATTCTACTATCGGTTTATGTAAGCTTGATCTGCAGCTTATTGAAAATATTCTGTTATTGAAGACTCTGATGCCAGTTCATTCAGTTCTCGTGCTTACATGTGCCCATATGTGCAACCGGGATTACCAAGCATCACACACGAATAACAACCGCAACAGATTTCGCAGCAGTATTAACCATCAACATATAGTTAGAATACACCATATGTTTGTTTGTATAGTGTGGTTCTTCCGTGATTCCTAGTCTTTTCGTGCCGATTCCATACCTAGGTGAGTAGTAGCTATGTCTAACAGCTGTCGTTATCGCTTTTACACACTCTAACTAATTGAGCTTCCACTTATTTACGCAGCATCATTTCCAACATTGTTCCATCTGTTTTGCAGTCTTCCATTAACTTAACACTGGTCCAATATTTCACTGCTTCATACAATCGTACATGCAACACCAAGTCATATTGCCAGATAAATGCCGGTATAGCTGTAACCTTAAAACCATTACATTGAAACTTAAGTGTACTTGTCAAAAAGACATCAAATTCAGGCAATAGCAGCTATTCGTAGCAGTTCGTGACCCACTGTTATAATTGAAGGTATCGGTATGTATACTGGGAGTATAACCGTCATACACCTACACACCTATCCAATCCCCACGTCCACTCTCAGTCATACCTAAATTACGAATACATTCTGCTATGTTCGAATTATCGTAGTCAGTGTATTCTTAGTACATATTACATTTACCGCTACTCCAAATTTGATTTTCTGGGTTCACCGCCCTGGGCGATTAGCTCTGGGCCATCGGTGCAGTGTTAAACGCTTGGTATTCACAATGTTTCAGGCCAACCAAACAGCACAAGTATCAGGTGCATGTATCAGTTGTTGGGTCCTGTTTTTACTCACATTCTGATTAAATTCGTATGTAACTTCCAAGTCTAGTTCCTGAATGTTCGCACTTGTGCTTCAGGAGAACGATGGGTTGGTCCGGTAATACACTGGAGGATTGATATTGCAAAATGAAAACTTCAATAGGTGGCTGCTTGTTAAATTCTGTATTTAGCAGGCTGGTTCTTGATATGTTGTTAAATCTTTACATGTTTGTTCTGAGTTTAGTTGTCGTGTCCTTGGTCGAGCTGGGTGTTGGCTTTTGTGGCGAATCACTGTAAACATGTTACAGCTAGCACATGATGACCATTGAACAACCATGCATACTGCCATTGTGTTGTGCACGTCTGTTATTGTACTGATCAGAGGTCTGTACTGTAAGCACCTGTTAAAGGCCTACAAACATGAAAACACAAGTACTAGGGACCCTCGCCCATAAGTCGATATGTTACATATAGATCTTACGAAGTGCGTAAGGGGGCGTTTTCGGCAGGCTGCTTTAAGTGTACAGGCATGACTTAGCAATTTTCGACTAGTTCAAGTTTTCCCACAGTGAAGGCTTCAATCGTAGACAAAGAGGGAAGCTCTGTGCTTAATAACTGATTCATCAGCGAACTGGTCTTCCCAGAGTAACGTCTTCACACAGAGACTGCTGATTCATTGATATCCATCTATGTTTGTACAGGACAAAAGGGGAGTTTCGTCAACAAATGTTTGGCCGTCATCTCGCATAAAGACTTGCCAAATGGGGTTGTTGGATTGTCCATCCAGGTTAAGTGCAAGCTGTGGGTCTTGAACAAGCCGATACACTATTGATACAACGACAGGCTCGAAATTAAAAACAATGAAATTGTCAACCCAATGAGAGTGCCCTTAAGCTTCTGTGTGTTTAGCCACGGATGGGCATATGTATATATATATATCTACACATACAGATGTATATCAGTATACATACACATGTACATATGTACACATACATAGATGTATCAAATACCTGTTTTGCTTCAAAAACCCATGCACGTTGTGCTCTTATTTGTCTGTTCATCCATTTATTTAACTAGATACGCGACAACATGTGCATGTGCATGTATACATATATATATATATACATACATACATACATACATACATACATACATACATACATACATACATATAGGTTATGAGTCATGAGCATATTGCACACAGAGAATGCCAGTGAACCTGACTGCGCTCAGAGCAGCCAAACGCGAGAGTCCTGACCCTCAGCATGGCTACTAGGGTTTTGGGGCCCACTATACTATAATTATCATAAGGGAATTCCCAAAATAGTAGGGGTAATTATTTAGGCCCCTATATTAGGGACTATTACCAGGCCTTGGCCCATCGCTTCGCCCTTGCCGCCGGTGAGCCCCCCTGCACGGAATGGGTCTTCGAGGGCTGAGGCTCGGAGAGCCTCTTGCGCCGTACTCCACAGAGGAAACACAGACCGGTTTAGGGTTTAGGGTCTAGGGGTTTAGGGTTTGGGGATTAGGGTGCACGCGGAAAGCTCCAGCTTCTAGGCTTTTCAAGAACCCTTTGGCCTGAAGGCCCCAAAGCCCCCGAGCCTTCGGCATCCTGTCTTCTCTGCACAACTTCGCGTTTGGCAGCTTGTTAAATGTAGCGGCCCTAGTACTTCGAATAAGGTTTTGGGCTCCTTTATGGTATAGTTTATAGTTATTTCTAAGGAACCCTGAGCCTCAACGCCAAACCCTTGACCCTAACTTGACCCATTCCCCTGCAATAAAATCCTAAATCCGAGACTCTAGACAAAATCCGAGCACCCGAAACCCTAAACCCAAAACCCTAACCCCTAAACCCTAAACCCCAATCCCGAAAAAAAAAAAAAAACAAGCAGTCTGCACCTGCGCTCTGCTGCCCCGCTTTCAGCGACAGCTTCCCGGTGCCGGCATCCAGCTCCAGCCAGCTGCCTGAGCTTCAGGGTTTGAGGCTCAGGGGTTTCGGCTTGGGGTTTAGGGTTTAGGGTTTAGGGCTTTGGGTTTAGGGTTTAGGGGTGTAGGGTTTGGTTTAGGATTTCGGGCTTAGGGTTTAGGGTTTAGGGGTGTAGGGTTTAGGGTCTGGGGTTTAGGTTGTAGGGTGTAAGGTTTAGGGTTTGGGGTTTAGGGTGTAGGGTGTGAGGTTCAGGGTTGTTTTTTAAGTTCAGGGTGTAGGGTTCAGGGTTCGGTCCAGCTAGCTTACAAGCCTCGCTCTACCTTCCCACCCTTCAGCTTGAAGAGCTGGACCCTACCCTAAACCGTAAACCCCAAACCCTAAACCCCTAGACCCTAAACCCTAAACCCTAAACCCCAAACCCTACACCCCAAACCCTAAACCCTAGACCCTAAACCCTAATATCCCGGGCACAGGCGCAGCCTGTTTCGCCTGCAGCCCGCAGATCCAGACCCCGATCTTAAGCCGTTCACCCCTAAATCCGATAGTAAATATAGGGGCCTTAATAATTAAAAGAAGGTTTTGGGATATATTGTGCTACAATTATTGAGGCTCCTACATTACATCGCAACCCTGAAATGCCTATGCCTCACGCAAAAAGCCACGAGTGTCGCGGCGGGCCTTAAACTGAAAGTTTCGCCTTGTGTCCCGCTGCTCAAAGCCCACTTGTAGACAACTCCCAAATCCTGAACGCCCTTGAGGCCTACGTATGCCTACACATTCTAGACACCGGGTGAAACCATATGCACCCGCGAAAAATCTCCGGGCGCTGTCTACCATGCGCCTTTGTTGATGAAGCTTCTAAAGCCGATGCCTGAAAAGTCTAAATCCTGAACCCAAACCCTGAAAGCAATTGTAGAAAACTTCTTGAATAGATTCTAGAACTCTTGCAGAACCCTTAAGAACCCACTTCGACACTTTGCCGCTCGGAGGCTGGCATCCCCTGGCACGCAGGCCAAGCCCCCAAACTGACCCGATCCGGCGGCGGATTCGGCATTCCTTGGCTCAAGGAGGCTCAGAAGGATTTTATCGGGTTGGGGGTTTAGGGTTTCGAGATTTCGAGAACGGTTTCATAAGGGCTTTCGCGGGTTGCTGAAGGAAACCTACTTGATTTGACAAGGGCGTTTTTGTTGTACAGGGCCTCTACACGGCTTCGCCAAGGGAACCCTGCACCCTAAACCCCCAAAATGACGTGTGGCAAGGGTGGAGGTGGCAAGACCTTAAACCTTAAATGTGAGCCCTAACGTCTTCAGACCCGGAAGCCGTAATTCCAGACCTTGAACTCCGAACCCGAAACCCTAGGTCCTGGCCCCTAATCGCCAAACCCTAAACCCAAACCCCCCAAGACCCCAAACCCTAAAGTCCCAAACCCCAAGCCCTAGGCCTGGACTCAGCAGTCGGCCTTGATGACTGACCTTGAAACCTCATACTATAGGGACCTTAATACTTAGAATACGGCTTGAAGGTATATGAAACTATAGTTGTGATAAGGAACCCCCAAAACAGTATAGGTATTTGGGCTCCTAGATTAAAGCTCTTCCGGAGCTTCGAAAGACCTCTCATGCCACCCTTCTACAAGCCCAATCACCTCACACCTCAAACCCTACATCTTCAATTTAGGATGTGCGCTCATGACAGCTGAATGTTAGGGGTTTCCGATGGCAGGGTTTAGAGTTGAATCGGTTCGGTTTACAGGCGTCAGGTGTCCGGCTGAAGTTCACAAAAGGCTCTGAACCCCTCTGACACGTCGAAGAGCCGATCCTCCAGATATGCCAAGACTCAGCGCCGGCACCACACTGCTGCTGTCGCCGCTGTAGAGCACCACAGGGTCGGAGCCGTAGCTGATCTTAGCCCGGCTCAGGAGTCGGGGCGGTTCAAAATTTGAGGCACCATGCGCCAGAGAGAGGGCATAGGGATCCTGAAAGGTTCGGATTTCCCAGCAAGTGAGGGGTCTTTCAGCTTGCAAGGCGCATTTGTTGGGTCGAAGTTCAGTGCGGGGAAGTTCGAAGCCGGCTGCTAGGTCGAAGGGTGACCTACTATACAAGTACTACCATGACCCCTAAACCCTAAACCCTGAGCCCCAGACTCTAGACCCTCGGACATCTCCGACGCCCACAGATAGGCAGCAGCACCAAGGAGACATCGACCCGTTCTCGACTGCAAAAACGCAGTGCACACTTTCAGGCGCAATCCTGTCCGGTTTCTTACTTCCTTGCTTACCTACCTACATACCACCTCAGTCCCTACCTGCCTCCGTCCCTCCTCGCCTGCCTACTCACTCACTTACTGACTACTTTTACCCAGGCGCGAACGTGTCATTCATAACACCTGGACAGGCGAGCGGGCAGGTACAGATACTGATACGACTGATACTGACATAAACCTTTAAACAATTAAGCAATGCATGCATGCAGGCATGTGTATTTACAGCACCGTCTCTTCCTGAACTTGTACACTTTATTCAGCTTGAAAGTGTGTAAACAACATGAGTCACATGTACTGCATGCGACGTGTGTACTGGTAGGCATGTAAAAAGCCATGCATGAACACAATTGATCTTCTTTCATGAAACAACAGTGGCAGATGCATGTGCATGCATGTCTGTCCTGGCAACGGTCTTCAGACCAAACGCCGCCCTGGCTATGTCAGACCACCGGAGACTTTCGTGTACTTCCATGCACACCAACATACCACGAAGCATTCCAATCAGCTGTCACAAATCATGCAATCATGCACCCGAATCTGGAAAAAGCACTCCACATCAAAGCGAATACCACAGGCCGCAGTCCCAAATCGCTCAACTCTATACCCTAAGCCCTAAGCCCTATAACCTAAACCCTAAACCCTAAGACCGAAGACGACTACCGCACTGCATCTCGAAGCGCGTCCCCCGCCAATACTTCCAGCGTAGCTTGTGCAGTCAGCCCGCCTTCCTCTCGCATCCGCTTATGCTTTGCCAGAGTCTCATGACCCCAAACCTCAAACCCTAAACTAAACCCCAAACCCGAAAACCTCAAAATTCTAAAATCCTGGACCCCAAACCCTAAAAACACACAAAAACACCAGACCCTCTATAAGTCCTAAACCCCTTGAGCGCTAGACCCTCAAGCTTACACCCTCAGGGGCTCAAAGGTTTCAGCTCCACCAGGAGCCGTCGATTCTCTAATTGTCTGTACTATTTAGGGTTTAGGGTTTGGGGCTTTTAGGGCTTTTAGGGTTCAGGGCTTTTAGGGCTTTGAGGGCTTAGGGCTTTGAGGGCTTTTAGGGCCTGTAGGGCGTTTAGGGTTTAGGGTTTAGGGTACTATAACGTGCTATAAGGTTACTGTAATACAAGTTGATTTTATGTCAAGCACCCTTAGGAAACAACCGACACAGTTTCGAAATTGCGTTGATAGCCCCTGTACTCGCCCTTGCTCGGTTTCCAACCTCACAAAGGGGCCCTAATGATGAAGGGTTTAGGTGTTTTGGGGTCTAGGGTCTACCTTAAGAACCCAAAACCCACTTTTCTGTAGGTTCTTATTATAAACCCTAATATGGGGACTTATAGGGACCCTACAATCAAGTAGGTTTTGGGTTCTTAAGGTAGGGTTTGACTCCGACGGAAGATCAACTGCAGCATGTGGTGCACTATCTTCTGAACAAGATATGGGTAGTTCTCTAAATTAGGGTCCCTTTTTAGGTACCCAATATAGTACGGCACCCTTGTAAAAAAGGACCCTAAAAGGAACCCTAATTTAGAGAACTACCCACTAGGAATGACAAGCACCTGCTCAAATCTCGCCCCCCGAAGATCACAAAATCAATCGGAGCCTCGAGACGGTCGGGTTCAATGCAGGGCTTTTTTTTTAGGGTTTAGGGTTCAGGGCTTCGGGCTTCGGAGATTGGGTTTAGGGATTCGGGTTTAGGGCTCTTAGTTCAGGATTTAAGGTTTAGGGTTTCGGATTCAGGATTTGGGGTTTCGGGTTTAGGGTTTAGGGTTCAGGAGCACCATCGCCCAAGTCCTGCTCCGCGGTGACCGTGCACTTGACTTCCTCGGCTGTTGCCCAGAAATCAAAAAAAACCTACACACAAACCCGAAATGTGAAGCCGTGTACACCTTTCGTCCGGTGTAACTACCTTGGCTTCTTTGAGTTTGGGCTTGAGGGCTTAAGGCCCACATGTCGAATTTTAGGGCTTTGAGTTTAGGGTCAGGGGGGCATCCCAAGGTCCCTGATTAAATCCACTGGCCCACTGCCTTACTGACTGCGCTGATGAGAAGACCGAACACTGAACCCTAAACCCTATTTAGGATTTAGGGTTTAGGGTTTAGGGCCTAAGCCGAACCCTAAACCCTGCGCCTTTGCTTGCCTAGCCAGATCGTCCAAACCGTTACACAGCCAGGCATTGCTACGACGAACTTGCTATCGTCACCTTTAGTTCCCAGGTCTGGCTACCATTTGCGCTAAATCCTAAACTCTCATTGTTTGAAAACGGTTTAGGGTTTGGGGTTTAGGCTTTGAAACAACCATTTACACTAAATCCTAAACTCTCAGCCCTGGGGGCTATAGTCGTCGCAAGCATCGATTGAGTTGGCACTGCCGCAGCCGACTTTGCTACAGCCAGGAGCCAGCTCCAGTGCCTCGCATCAGCAGCTTGAAAAAAAGCATAGATACATGCACCAAAACCTTATAACAACGGTCATCGTCAGGAAACCACATCAGCATCGGCATCAGAAGCTACAACACCAATATCACCTGTGACATTTCTGACACGAACAGGATCATCTTCATCATCCTCACCCCCATCATGGTCATCATCATACTGATCACCATCGCCTTCCTCGCCATATTCACGCATGCAGGGGTTCAGGAAGGGTTTGGGGGTTCGGGGTTGAGCATTCAACATAGCAGGTTTCTGTAGAGGCAGGCAAGGTGCAAGGTGCAAGACCTAGATCGGCCGTCTCCTCTTGCGCATGTCCAGGGACATGTCAAGCATTAGCCCACGCTCCCGAACCCTCAAACGACCCTGATCAATAAACCACTTATAAGAATCTTTAAGAAAAAGCCATGTAGCCTAGCCGTAACCCTGGGTTTAGGGTGTACGCCTACGGTTTAGGGAGTGTATCATATCAAAATCAGAGGTCACCTGTACTGTCACGTATGTTGCTTGTGTGAGCCTCTCTGGGGGTTTGATGCTGCCTGGATGCGCCGGTCTGAGGATGAATCGAAAGACCGAATTTGGCCAGCTCGCAATCCTAGGTTTCGAGTTTAGGGTTTCGGGGTTTAGGGGTTTGGGGTTTGGGGTTTAGGCTGTAGGGTTTAGGGTTTAGGGGGGGTTGCAGTTTAAGGCTGTCTTCCTGGTTTGGAGGCTGTGGCAGCCTTCACTTGCCCCTCAGGCCAAGGGCCTCACAAGCCAGGAGCTGGGGTTTTGGGAGCTACTACCCAAACACAATATGAGATACTATAGCACATGATATACTAGAAACTAGCGTGGCATTATAACAATCATACATGCTCTTTGAATCTAGTCTAGCATGAAATATAACACAGGGCGCTTTCTCGAATTGGGCCTCGCTTTTCGGTGTCTGCCGGCTTCGGGCTTGTGCCTCTCAGAGGCGCCACAAGCTTTAGGAAGAGCCGGTGACCCTACATTACATTACTTACTCTACTAGTTTATAAATAGACTCTGTTGCATACCATACTCGATGGTATGTCTAGTATAGTGTATTTGTACATTATAATCCTACAGGATTTACTATACTATATTATGGCGTATTATATGTCTTGTGAAAGGGACTATATTCTGGCACAGTATCTAATATTCTCCTATTATAAACCCCGAGTAACTTGAAGGTCTTGACTTTCACTTCTTGCGATCGGCAAAATACTTGCACATTGCTGGTTTAGGGTTTAGGGTTCAGGGTTTTGGATTTAGGCAGACCAAGTGGCTCCATGTTGATATCTCGAGTTCTCCCATGCGCAAGATCTCCCTCAAATCCACAAGAACAAGTCCCAAAACTCACATGCGCAATCTAAAACGCCCCACATCCCCTCTTCCTTCCCCAAGGCCTCTTCCACCAAAATCCTGGAATCCGAAGCCCCCGGCCCCAGTGACTGCCTGCTTGCAGCCAGGGTGCTTTGTCCACTGAATACTTGCCTTTTACCAATTTAGGGTTGACGGCGTTGCGATCGTAGGGTTTTCGGGAGTCATAGAACGAAACGCCGAACCCCGAAACCCGAAACTCCAAACCCTCAAGACATAGAGCTGAAAGCCTTACAGTCGGGCACGTCGAAGGGCTCCGGAGATTGTGGGTCGGGTTAAGGGTGATTCAGGCTTCCCTAAGCCAAGAGGGCCAAGAGAAATCTTAAAACCCTAAAACCCAAGCAGGTCATGCTTCTCATGCAACGAGCTCGGGAGATTTGCAGGAGCTATGTACGAGTGCATCAAGATCTGGAAGCGGTACAAAACTCACTTCTGAACAAGGCGGCAAAGCGCGGCCGTGAAGGTGGAACCCTGGATCCCGCCCAACTCCACATCCAGCCCCAACAAAACCCCTAGCTTCCTTTGAGGTTGAGTTCGCGGCAAGCTTAGACTCTGGACTCCTGACCCTGAAGCTGAGGCGCCCGCCAACCCTCCACGCTCTCACCCAAACTCGAACACAACCGCGGTCAAGTCGCTGGCGGTTCGGGGGACTGGGTGACCAACCACCTGCGTCGCACCGAGCGCGATGGGGCCCACGAAGTAAGCGAACTTTGTCGCCGCCTCCGGGGGCCGACAAGGCGAGAAGCATGGCAAGGCGTTCTCGTCAATCATGGCCCTACTTCATCGAAGAGTATGTTACGCCCTGGCTGGGGCACAGTCCCGTACAAAAGCTCTTGCCAACCCTAGAACCGCCAGAAGAAGGCTTTCAGCTGCCAGAAAGATCCTAAACCCTAAACCCTAATTCCCGCCATCATGCTTGCCTCCCTGTGCAGAGAGGTGCCCTCGCACTTTTTACTGTGACCTGAAGCGTTAATCGAGGTCATACTCAGGATTTTGGGCAAAAGGAGTGTTCATGCCGATGCCCTCGATCCTAACATTGACCAGACCATCCCGCCGTAGACAAAGCTTTAGCGGCAGCGGAAGGCGAAGAAAAGCAGCTGCTTGAACTATCTGACATCCCTGGCATGGCGGTGGGGCGGTGGCGGTAAGACCTGAGAACGGATGCACATGGGGCACAGGCATTTGCACATGTCCACGAAGAACAGCTGCACCTGCCGAGACGCACTGTAGGGAATAGTCCCTTCATTCCCTCCATCATGCTTGCCTCCCTGTGCAGAGAGGTACCCTCGCACTTTTTACTGTGACCTGAAGCGTCAATCGAGGTCATACTCAGGATTTTGGGCAAAAGGAGTGTTCATGCCGATGCCCTCGATCCTAACATTGACCAGACCACCCCGCCGTAGACAAAGCTTTAGCGGCAGCCGAAGGCGAAGAAAAGCAGCTGCTTGAACTATCTGGCATCCCAGGCATCTCCACCCCCCCTCACCAGAGGAGCACGGCGCAAGTTCAGCCCGAGCAGGACAAGCATGACGATGTCGACTGGGCGGGTTGGGTGGGGCGGGCTGTCAGAGCCCGTAGCCGCCGGCGCGGCAGGCAGCCCATTTGTCAGCAGTGGGGGTGGCGCCGGCACCACATGAGGCATCACAAAGCCTAACTGCTCGTAAAGCCATGTGGCCACATTGCTCTCAATCTCCATGGCAGCCAAAGTGGCCTGCATCCACAGCTCTCTGACAACATGAAGAGCGAGGCCCGTGATTGACCGGCAGATTAGGCGGATGCAAAGGGCTATGATTAACGCCACTATGCGAGGGAAGAGCACCGCCGTGAGGAACAGGATTGCCATCAGCCATTTCCAGCGCGCGGGCCAGCAGAAAGTCGTCGAGGGCCGAGCTGGCGTCAAAGAGGATGCCTGTGCCCTGTCCTGGACAACGGCGGCACTGGAGCCACATAGAGGTAGAGGCCGCACCGCAGAGGGTACAGCGCCGTTTTGCAGGCCTTGCGCTGGAGTTTCCACGAAACTTCTCAACACTTGCGAGATGCGCGCCAGGGCTGAGGTCATGCGTCGCACTGAGTCGCCTGTCCGCCAGCGAGCTGCTTTAGCCACCTCTTGAGGATCCCCAAGCGTCTCAGCGGCGCTCAGGCCTCCCTGCTCCACAGGCTGGGAGCCTAGAGAGGCTGCCGCCACCTGAACTGCCCGTAGGACTCCTTCTGCTGCTTCATCCATCTTTGCGGGCGCCACAGCGGCACCGGAGTGCCTGGGAGCACTGCCTGTCCGACTTGCTTGGCTCGGTGTCGGTCTCCGACTCGCCGAAGGCGGGCGGGACAAGTGCAGAGTCGGCCTGTTGGTCGGTTCCATCGAGGGCGAAGAAACCGCGTAACAAAGTGGCGCTCTTTCATCTCTGCTCAAAAGCTAGCCGAAGGTGCCGACAGCGATCTTCCGCCAGGCGTGACGCAGAGGACCAGGCATCAGCGCCCCCGTTCTAGCAGCCTCGTCCGAGCCCACTGCGGAGGATGCGATAAGCTGTCTACGTGCTCAAAAGCAAGTGCCAACAACTCCTTTGCCTCAGTTGGTGCGTTAGCCAGTGCATGGATGGCAAGCGCGTCTTGCAAATAATGATGTAGGGTTTCTGGCCGCCGCCACCGGCCGGAAAATTGGAGAATGGCGAAGTTTTGTGTGGTCTTGAACATATGACATGCTCCGCCACCCCGCAACGATGCTAAAGTCATCCCGCAGGTTTGAAGAGACAACGATTCCAGGACCTCTTTGAGCATCAGTCCCCACTTGCGTTTGCTGACTATGAGCAGGCGATCACGTTTCCGAAGGCCTGCACACCACCATTGTAGCCACGCGATGAGTCGAGGGCACCGAATGATCACGAATTGGTTCGCCCAAACCCGGCGGGTTTTCGCCTGACGAATGTTGATGACGAGACCGACCCCCTCGCTAAGCTCGGCGTGTTCTGGGAAACAGAGATCGCCACACACCAGCCGATCCACTTCCCCGGGTCGTAGCAGCCCTTCAAAAGCCACCCACAGAGCCAACATCACTGACATCCACTCCAGCCGCGAATGACCACGCAGAGAGCATACTCGACCTAGGCAGGTTACCAACACACACCGGAGCACATAATACGTCATCGGCACTCTGGGTTGGATGGGCTGCAGCAGTCGCCAGGATTTTATCGCTGCCCACGTACAGCGCAAAAGTGGCGCTGATAGCTTGAAACGCCGTTGGATGCTGAGGACAGCTAGGGTGGTCCAATAGAGTTTCTCTCCATGTGTAAATGACCAATCTACCATGCGTTCCAACCACTTGTCGACATGCCGTGTAGAACTCTTCGGATGAAGACTCCCACCAAGATCCGAGACTACTCCAAAGGCCCAACCTCCAGCCTCACGCAAGTGCCTCCTGTACTGCGGCGTCAGGGTGATTTCCCTGAGACGCCCCCCCCGTGCGCCAGATGAAGCAGGCATCGGCAATGGCCGCAGCGAAGTTGCACGGGTAAGCACCACCGGCTCGGGCCCGAGCTTCACGGAGTGAACGTTCATGGTTATGAGTACCCGGGCACCGTTTGAGAGCGAAGGTGATCCATGGTGCATTGGTCATAACTGTGATAGTTTTCCGATTTGGGGGAACTTCTGGGCACTCACCAGCGTAGGCACAAAGATCAGCTTTTAGGAAAGTGACTCCTTAGGTAGCAGCCAGGCCTTTGATCCAGACGGGTGCGCAATGACGAAGAAGCCATTCGCCTGGGCAATTTTTGTGGCCAAACCAAGCGCCCTGCTCCACACCTGATTCGCTTTCTTAATCTCAGGCTTCGACTCGTCCCCTCTGTGTCGACCCGCAGGCCGCAGAGGACCTTCAGCACTGAGATCACGGAGAGGTGAGAAAGTGGAGCTAGGAGGAGCCAGCCAAAGCCAGTGCACAAGACGCTGCGCGATCATGTAGTCGATGATCTGGCTAAAAACCCCCGGATGGCCTAGCAGATCTGCCCCCGGCCCCCACTCTTCCAATCTCTGCATGTGTAGCCCTCGTTGAAGATGCGCAGCTGTTATCACCCCGGTCCCATAGAAAACCTCCAACCCGCAAAATTGCGCGCAGTTCCCGACCCCATAGGCTCGGAGCCACGCGGGCGCAGTTCTTGGTGGGGGCACAGGTTTCCACCTCGATGGGAAGTCAGCGATATTTGACTCGGTTTCCACCCATAATAGGGCAAGGCTAATCTGCCCAGGATCAGGTAAGGCAGCAGCCCCCTCAAGATGCTGTTGAGCTTGAGTGAAGACGAGCGTCCTTTTGAAAAAGCATACACACACAAACAAGCGAGTCATTGAGGCAGATCTGAATGGACTTGCCTCGGTCGTACTGGCTCGCCAAGATCCGGAGCTCTCGCCGGAGAGCTCACGCCTCTTGAAGGTTGATGTGGCTGCTCTCTCTAAAGCTGTACTTGGCAGTCTCGGCCCAAGGTAAGCTTTCCGCGCAAGCACTTGCGAAGGCCGAGATCTCGGTCGGCTCCGGCGGTTCCTCCGTGGCCAAATTGCGATCAAGCCGGATCGGGGCTCCCTTAACTTCGGACCTTCGCCACAACTCCTGGACCAGGCCATGTGGGGCCTCGGCCCGAACCGCTCCCCCCAGTGGCAAGGATGGAAGAGCTTAGCTTGTACCGCATGTCCCACTCAGCAAAAACCAAATGAAGACTTAGGCTATGTAGCTCGTCTATCACATAACTTGGTAATCGCACCCACTTAGCGTCTGGCATCCTGCTCACGTAGTTGTAAATGCGATGCTGCAAGCAGAAGAGCTCCCTGCGGAACAAGAAAGCAAAAGCCAAGAAGCCGTTCACCTTCTCAAGCACACTCTTGCACGCCCACCCATACTCAACGATCAAGGAGATCAAGTACCACACCTGTTGACGAGTCTTCTTGGGAGCCCCCACTCGACCTCGGATGCCACAAACTTCTCCTCCCCACGCCTTAAAGCTACACTCTGCCCTGAAAGCTTTGTGCAACGCGCGCTGGAGGTTGGCCTTGTCGTAGATGTCCTCGGCCGCCTTCACCAGCTTCATGTCCGGATCGTCCGCCTCGGCGAGCGGGGGCACGAAGGAGCCATCAAGAGGGATGGGGTAATTGAGCGTCTTGCGGTACGAGATGAGAAGATCATCGATGTAAACCCCTTGCCACAGGTCACGACTAGGAGCTACCTTACCGTACACGAGCGTCTCCTGGGAGTCCAGCAGCCCGCCCTTCTTCAAGATCGCCTCGTGCGTAGCCTGAGCTATAGCGCAACCATTGCGGTCGCCCATGCCCAGCACTCTGAAACAGAGACGATAGGGCGCAGACCGATCGCCGCCATGACGATGCACCACTTCAGGGTCCACCCTGCGGCCGAAGGAGTTGTAACGAACCCACTTTTCAGGAAGCCGAAGAGTGTAGTAGAAGTTTCTGAGGTCATCGCCTGAAGCGCGCAAGTACTGATTGTCACCTAGCAACATTCTGGTATAACACGCAGCAGATGGAAGGGAACCCCAATCAAGTCTCATCATCGTGGCATTCTCTGGCCGGCGGTCAAAGATCAACCGGTCTTCAGCTTCGTTCTTAGGCACAGCAAATAGGCCCCCGGACAAAAGATGGCCCTCAGGACGTCCTCCCGCACTAGTACTGCCATGCGTGTCGCCGAAAGCTTCTCACACATCGCGGCCTCCTCTGAGAGAGGCACCCTGTGACAGGGTACACATCGCTCCTCCCACAAATGAGGCTCTTTCCGGATCTGGTCTAAGTCCTCCACTATCTGTGCCTGCTCGGGTGGCAGCCATTCCAGTGGATCCACGCAGCCAGCTTCCTCCGGCACTGCCACACGTTTTGCCGTGACGGCCATGGCCGTAGAAGGAGCCGAGGCAGCAGCCTGAACAGACTCGCAATAACCCGAGGCCGCAAACCCCTCAACTTGGCGCAGAAGCGCCTCCACAGTCGCTCGCTTGCCTTCACAGTGCAAACGACCCAAAACTAAATCAGGGCTTGCGAAGTCAAGAGTCTCGCCAAGCAGTCTGTCGGCGAAGCTCCGAGCCTCGCTGGCAGATCGATAGACCACTCGCGGCTCATGGGGACCACCCGGGCAGCCGAGGACAACAAAGTTTGACCAGGCGACGAAGCCGTTGAGAAGGTGCTTCGCCCAGACCAAACAAGCCTCAGCCTTCGACCCCGTTTCCTTGATCCGCAAGACTTCAGGGTACGGGAGGGCACATGGAAATAACAGGCATTCATCTCCGGACCGTTCCGGTAAAAAACCTTGGACGCTCTCGAACCAGGCCATATACTTCATAAAATTTGAATTCCTTTCAAACAAGTTCGGCAGCCTAAGGCGCAGAACCTCTGCATGCAGTGTCTCATCGGATGTCACTTGCGGTTGGCCGCCGGGGCGTCCTCGTCCTCGGCATCCGCACCGCCCTGAGCTTCCCGGACCTTCTTCTTGAGCTTCATCATCGCATCCATGTAGCCGGACACCACGCTCATCTCCTGCTTCGTTCCGGCCCACTCCTTCTTGTGCAAGGGGTCCGGGAGACCGGTGAGCAACCAAGCCGTGTCCCAGTCTCCTTGGTGTAGCACTGCCTGCATCTTTGCTTTGAGATTCTGGACGGTCTGGGCCGTCGCCACGTTGTGACGTCCAGCCCGCAAGTGCTCGTACACCGCCACGTCCATCATCGCACATCGATACAGTCCTTTGTACCGGCCCCAACTCTGCTTCTTCACAAAGTCCCGAAGCGTCCACGCCTGCCCCGGTGTCACCCCGAGCTCCTTCACTGCTTCGGCTTCGAAGGCCTCGTAGATCTTTTTCGGCTTCCGGAGAATCTGAGCGTGCAACCGGTGAAGGCCGTTGACTGCCTTCATCCCTCGGGCCTCCTCTCCTTCTTCTCCGCTGTCCGAACTGTCTGAGCTTGAGCCACCAAGGGGATCTGAAGAGGATGCGCTGCGGCGCTTGCTCTTCTTCCGCTGCCCTTGGTTCACCAACTGACTCAGCAGGACCACGGTAAGCAAGTCTTTGGTCTCCCCCGCTCCCGAAGCCAGGCTGGCCTGAAGCAGTCCTTTTACGTCTAACTCGTCCTTCTTGTCCTTCTTCTTCTTTGTGTCCTTGGAGCTCCGGGCTGTGCTCTGCCCAGGGGCTAAGTACTTCAGATCGTCTTCGGCATCTTCGTCGTCTGTCTCCTCTTCGACGTCGTCGTCGCTGGCAACGCCTTCGAGGAAGCGGCTCAGGCCCCCCAGCTCCTTTGCTAGGCGGGCACTTTTCGTACTGGCCTTGGCTTTGGGCATCTCGGCCTCGCTGCTTTCCAAGGCCTTCTGAGTGACCTTCTTCCACGCAGCTTGGCATGCCTGGAGGCCCGGAACGTCAGCGATTCTTGAACCTGTCCACCCGCTTGGTCTCGCCAAAGAACAAGCGGCTGAAGGAACTCGAACGAATCCAACATCCAATCCGTCACTCTTCGCGGTTGTCTTCTGTGCTACTCCCGCTAGCAGTGAGGGTTTAGTGGCAACGATCACGTCCTCTTCAAGCAGTTCGCTGACCCAGCCGGCTATCTGAACATCGCCACCATCGCAGCGTAGCGTAAGGTAGACTACGTCCCCTACACTAACAGACATCCTGTAAGACTTGAGAACGGATGCACATGGGGCACAGGCATTTGCACATGTCCACGAAGAACAGCTGCACCTGCCGAGACGCACTGTAGGGAATAGTCCCTTCAACCCCTAAATGTGAAACCAAAGCTGTCATGACTACCAGAAGTTGGCAGAGTACAGAGCAGCGAGCTCCGGATCATGACAAGCACCGAGGCTTCTGGGTTCAGTGAAAACCGCCCCTGCGGGCCAACCGAGAGTCTTCGACCCTTCTTTCGGGGGCGGGGCTGGTTCTAAGCTTCAGTGGGGTTAGG